AAAGAGGAGAGAGAGAGAGAGAGAGAGAGAGAGAGAGAGAGAGAGAGAGCGCATGCGTGTGTACATACATGCTTGTGAACATGCACAAATGCCATCTAGCTGAACTATATCTGTATCCCATACCCTAGGACAACCCACCAGGCTGTGTCCTACCAGCTCTGGGCTCCACTGTCTTGTTGGACCCTTCCTCCATGAACACAAAGCGCCCTCCACCGAAGTCCTCTAAGTAATCCGAGAGGTAAAGCAGTGAAGTGTAGTCAAAAGAGCCGTAGGTCACCTGTGGGGTGAAGCATAAGGGAGTGGGTCAGACTTCTCAATTCTTACGGGGAATTAGGCTTTTTAAAAATTGTATTACTACTTATGTGTATGTGTCTGGTGTGTATACCATGTGTGTTAAGATGTCCAAGGAGGCCAGAAGAGGGTATTGGATTCCCGTGGAGATTTAGTTAGAAACTGTTGTAAGCCATGCAATGTGGATTCCCTCTACAAGATCAGCAAGTGCTCTTAACCTTTGAGTCATCTCTCCAGCCCTGGAAATGAGGCTTTGGAGACAGTTTTGCTCCAGCAAAGCTGCATGAAGGGGTGATGAGCACAGAACAGAAGCTGGTGCAAATTGGCTCCTATCCTGAGCATAGCAACATGAACAGTGTATTGTCTATAGAAAAAAGCATGTCAATTGTGGCCAACTATGGGGCAGTCCAAAACTTTCTGTAAAATATATATAGTATGAAATCTACTTTCAGCCATTTTTCCAAGCACTATTAGCAGGACTGAGCGTACTCACCTTGCTACACAGCCATCCCTACCTTCTACCCTAGCCTCTGCATCTTCCCAAATTGGACATCTGTCACCACTGACCCTAATTCCCAACCTGGTCCCTGAAACCCACCATTCTATGGCCTCTTTGGGAATGTGGCATCTCTTGGAACCTTATGAGAGGCTCAGACAATTGTCAATGTGTGACTAGCATGCTCCACTGGGTACAGAAGCAAGCTTGCTCATGCTCATCTATGTTTCAGACCCTCACATTCCTGGAGCACATACAGCACATACCATCACCCTGGGGGCCATGATTGTGGGTCTTGAGGAAGAGGTGGCAATGCTGACTGAGCAGGACAATGGGCAGAAAGGAGCCTGCTCCATCACTCATTAATGCTGGGTTCCAGTTTAGGTATGATGAGTTGATGAATTTCCTGAGGCCTTGTAGCTTTCTCCACAGAAGAAGGTAACATCAACCCCAGAATATGGAGGCTTGTACCTAGGATCCCCACAGAGCCAGTGCTGAGGGTAGGAGGAGCCTCCTTTCTGTCCCATACAGTTCTACTGCACCACTGGACAGAGACCAATCTGGAGCCAGTCCATCATGGGAAGAGCTGCACCCCTAGAGTTCCTGTGCTGATTCAGTACAACTGGTTACTTCCTCCCACCATACTGCTCCTGTACATACCCCTACAAGAGTTCCCACACCAGTTCTTACCCAGACTTTGCCCTGGGAAGCCCAAATTAAGACAGATATCACTAGAACAGAGCAATTGAATATAGGAAAACTTCAGCAGAATCTATACTTAATAATGCATCAGAAAATTTATCTTACATCAAAGTGGCATGAGCATGGGAAGCCCTGCTACAGCAACTCAAAACATTAGATAGAAATATATTTAACAAGAAGCACGGAGTAAGCTGGGCATGGTGATACATGCCTGTAATCACAGCTCTTGGGAGGTAGAGGCAGAAAGATCAAGAATTCAAAGTCATCCTCAGTTACATATTGAGTCTCTAGCCAGCCTGTATTACATCAGATGCTGCCTCAAACAAAACAAAACACATACACAAAGGGGGGGGGGGTAGGAGAAAGGTCCAGGGAGTAACAACACTGTCTATGCCAGTATGAGGATCTGAATTTGAATCCCTTGCACTCACATAAAATGTTGGGCATAGCTGTGCACATATCCACAACCACAGCACTGTTGGGGGTGGGAATTAGAGGACTTCTGGGGCTTGCTCACTGCCAGCCTTGCTTCAGCTTCAGTGAGAGACCCTGTCTCAAAGTAATAAAGTGAAGAGTGATAGAACAGGGCACCCAATATCCTCCTTTGCCCTTCACACATGAGTGTATACTACGCACACATAACACACACACTCACATAAAGTATGAAAGTATACTCTACCCCCAAGAGTCCCACAACAAATGCTCCTGATACTGACTCTCAGGAGAATGCGCACTGACGCAGGATCCATCATGGGCAGTTGTTAGGACATTTCTGGAAGCCTACCAGACACACTGAGACAGCACTGCAAGGGATGCAAAGCTTTGAAGTCAGACAAAACGAGCTTATTACATGCATTCTGACTTACATAATTCACAGAACAAGAGTCAAAGTCATTTGTTGTTGGTGCAGTTGTAGAAAACTGGGACTGGGGGCTGACAAGATGGTTTCATAAATGAAGACACTTTCCACCAGGTCTGGTACTGGAACCCACATGGTAGAAGGAGAAAACTAATTCCTGCAAATTGTTGTCTGACCTACACACATATACCACAAGACACAAGCATGCACACCAAACAAATAAAATATAATAAAATTTTTAACTAGGAGATGGAGAGATAGCTCAGTAGTTAAGTGTAGTTGGAAGTTTTCCTGTGTCCTGCCTGGTCCCACAGCTGCTCAGACCCAAGTAAACACACAGAGGCTTATATTACTTACAAACTGTATAGCCTATGGCAGGCCTCTTGCTAGCTAATTCTTATATCTTAAATTAACCCATTTCTATAAATCTATACTTTGCCACGTGGCTTGTGGCTTACCAATATCTTTATATCTTTCTTTTCCTGGCAGCAGCTCACAGTGTCTGCCTTGCTTCTCCTTTCTCTTCCTGTCTATCTGTTTGGATTTCCCACCTGCCTCTAAGCTGCCTTGCATAGGCTAAATGGCTTTATTTATCAACCAATCAGTGTAACACATATTCACAGCATACAGAAAGACATCCACAGAAGTTAAGAATGCTAGCTGCTCTTCCAGAGAACCTGGGTTCAATTTTCAGCACCCACATGGTGGTTCAAAGCTAACTGAAACTCTGGTGCAATATCTCCTGGCTTCTGTAGGCACCAGACACACATGTGGTACACAGACGTACATTCAGGCAAAACATACATACACACACAAGAAAATAAATTAATTTTTAAAAAGAAAACTTAAATTAGAATAGAAGAGAGAATTTAGAAATTCACATGAATTTATGGGTAACTGGTAATTGTATGAGTGGTACCCTCAGATTGGTGGGAAAACCACAGGTAACTTTAAAAATGGCCTCAGAGCAATTGACTCTTTATATGGAAAAGTGATAGACCTTTGCCATCATCAGACATGACATTTATTTCTCATAATTCCAAATGTATGGACAGCTAGAATATAAAAGGAAAAAATTAGTAATATTAAAACTTTGTAACCCTAGCCCATAGGAGAAGGATCATCGTGAGTTCAAGGACAGCCTGGGCTACACAGTGAGTTTGAGGCCAGCCTAGACTACAGAGTGAGAGTCTGTCTGAGAAATAGACAGGGAGGGAAGAAAGGTGGTAGAGAGAGAGAGAAAAAAAAAAAAAAACAAGAGAAACTTATAGGGGAATATTTTTAAAACCTCCTTGGGCCAGGCAGTGATGGTGCACGCCTTTAATCCCAGCACTCAGGAGGCAGAGCCAGGAGGATCTCTGTGAGATCCAGGGCAGGCACGAAAACTATACAGAGGGCCGGGGGTG